TAATATTGTGCAACAGCAGATTTACCTGAACATTAAAACAAACACTGGAAACAAGTTTATTGTCTAATATTGAAATTATTAAAATATGTACAAAATAACATCAAAGATTACAATAAAGAATGTAATTTTGTATGATTGCACCAGTACTATATAATTAAACAAGAAAATCTATATATTTAAATAAATACAAAATTGAAATACATAATCTCATTGCTCTATTTACCATATTTAACACTGTGAGGGTATAAGTGGTAACGTTTTTATCGCCATGTGCATCTAGCATGTTTTTGTCTATAACCACAAGGGTTTCCAAATTCCTCAACTTCTCCTTATTCTTTCCATCTTTCACACGACGCTGATGCTGATGGTGACGGTGACGTGAGTATAATGCTGTTGATCTCTTATATCTTTGGTTTTTATGAATGAGATGATTTTCTTTATCACCGTCATTATCTTTTTTGTCTTTTGGTTGCTGGAATGGCTGTAGTTTATTGTCTAAGGCTGTAAAAAATGACATTATATTACCAAAATGCCCTTTGTGACACTTCTTTGTTAATTAAAAGTTAATAGATACATTTATGTCCCAAAACTTCAACATGCAATTTACAGATAGCAAACTTCTTTACAGAAGCCATGCACCACTTCTTTTAAATTAACTTTTAAATTTTAAAACTATGAGTCAATTAGACTTCACAGGAAGAAATGAAAGCCTTTGAGCAAAGAGACAACAAGCTAAATGCTACAAGGTCCAAGTTCCTCAACAAACACAGTCACATACGTCTTTGAACAAATAAACACAATGGAAGATTGCAGTAGTTGAGACAGTTACTAGAACAATACAACACAACTGCTACTTTCTCAACTACAGCAATTGAACACAAGAGTTCTATTAAGAGGCAGATTCAGCCATCACACCCAGAGTTTAAGAGGTCAATGAAAACTCGCCTCTCTAATATCTAAGACACACTAGTAATGACTGAGGAATGCTGATAGGAGAGAGAGCAGTTTTCAGTGTCCTCTGAAATTCAGGATGAGCCCCACACAAACAGACCAGTCTCTCAAAAAATGCAGTACCAAAAGCATCATCTTAAATTCTGACTTATGAGAACAGAAGGCTATATCAATCTGTCTTTCTATAATGTTCACAATGAGTTTTCTTCTTGTAATTTTTTCCTGGACAGGTATCTGTTGGGCACTAAATTATACACTGTAATATAGACACCTTTTCAATGTCAAATGTGTCATCATACACCAAAGAGTTACCTTTCATAATACAGTGTTTGTTATTTTAACTTTTTAACCTCTAATATCAGTGATCATTAGCTGGGTCTAACACACCCAGAGGGAGAAAAGGGGCAGGGTTCAGTTTACAATAAATATTAGTCTACATGCTGAAAATATGTGCCTTGATATAAATACATTATTTTGGAACAACATTAGAAGGTTGCAACTAATTTCCTTATTAATTTTTTTCACAGGGGATATAAAACATGAATGAAGAGATGATATGTTCTGCTCTGGCAAATATAACATTTACATTTTCAACAATAAATGGTTCATTATTACCATTTCTTTAATCACAATGACAAAGAGAAGTGACAGAGCCATCCTTCCTAATGATAGTGTACCATCCAGGTATACAGTACTTTAAAATCATTCAGAATCACAAAGCAAGTCATCCTCTTTAAATCAAATAAATAAAAAAGTAACTCCCCCCAAAATAAATAAATAAATAAATAAATAAATAAATAAATAAACTCATATAAATAAACTCAGAAGAATTGCTCTCCATACTAAAAAAATCAACATAACAGCCCACAATTAAGACTTAACCCTTGAAATCAATGTTAACAACTCACCTTTAAGATGATCACTATTATTATTGCTATGACACAGGTGGTTAGTCCCATGTGAGGAAGATGAATTAAGAGAATGGAGAGATGACTTCATATATATAACATGTGGGTAATGAGAAGTGCTGGCATGACTTGTATTCACAAAATGGCGATGGAGATGAGATGGGAGAGGCTGGACGATATACTCAGCCTTGGAGGTGCGGAGAATCCCCATCTGAAATACAATTGAGAAACATATATGTATTAAACCAGACATGAACCCAGGTTTTAGAAAAAAAAAAAACTATGAACATTTATTGTGGAACCAAACAACTTACGTAAATTTTTTGGGGTTTAATTACTCTTGGGTCATGTAAAAAAGCTGAATTTTGTGATTCTGTGGAAAAAGCTCATGTCTGTTAAATGTACAGACTTTGAGTTGCATAACACATACATCACCAATCCATAAACAGGGATTCAATTGGGTTGAAATAAAATGTTTTGAAATAGAAATATATATATATATATATATATACACTTGATAAAGATATCACTGATGAACCAACCTATTAATTCATAAACACTTAATTGAAATGACGCAATTAATATAACTACATAAAACTAATGAAAAATGGAACTTAAGTTGGCAAAGCATCTAGGTATTAGATGTGCCTTTTTCAAACACACTAGCATCCTTGTTAAAATTTAAATTATTCAAGATAAATGCAGTACCACAAGGCTTTTTATCAGTTTCATAAATCATTGGTCAGTTAAATGTTTAAAAAAGTAAAACTGTCAAATGATTTTCAATGGATTCTGGACTAAAACAAACTTCTTCTATCCCAGTGTTACTAAACACACCCTATCTTTTTCCCTAGCTTGAATTCGAGAACATAAAACCTATTGAATGACCAGTTAAGTCTCTGAGATCATGGGCTAATCAATCAGCCAATAAACCAATAAATCCTTCAAAAAGTACCCTTCAATCAAAGGGCAGATTTAAGTGGTCCTCAATTAAATCCCCTCTGGCTTCAAGTAGGCACTAGAATCTGTAGTCATAACTGTGCCCTTGGTCGTGTTTGGAAGAAATACAACACAAACGATAACAGGTTCAAAAGAAACCCAGTGACATAGAGGTGAACCCTGTGGTATTGATTGGAAATACACACTCAGGAACCACTTAGGATTTCAAAATGTCCATAAATTTTAGCATGTGGTTTATTTTGAGAGCTTATTAATATAATTCATATGCCATCTAACACTGTCTAGCAATCTGTAAGCATTTTAGCTAGCACAGATAGGCCAGCCATGGAAAACGTCTGTTTTTTTAATCAAGGCCAAAAGCAGCAGACAGATAGGTCATGATGTTTCCAGAAACAAATTCTCAAACATCCCATCTAAATTTAGCCTTGACGACACTGTTATCCTGTTGCCCCTTTCCTAGTGCTCAAGGCTTAAATTGTTACATAACTGCTCGAAAACACTTCTACAACTAATCAACATGTTATGACTGCCTTAATTCCGCTGACAGGATCACCGCTGGAGTCACATTTGATGGGGAAACACAGACTCAAAATACTGCCCTGAAGGATGTAACGAATATGAGGTATCTTCTGAAATAACATGGCTATTGAGACCAATATTTTGATTACATTTTACTCTTGGTTGTCTCCTGTTTACGATAAACAAAGTTGTCCAATTTCGTTCTTTTTTATTTGACAGTGGAGTACTCAAAGTATCCCATCCTCTTTTACGCTACAGAGCCAGTTTTTACCAGAGATTATTTCATTATTCCCACTTTATTCAACATAATTTGAAGTAAACACTATTCAACAGCTGGATGTTTTTATACAGCACATTATTATCTTTCTCCCAATTCTTTTTTATTATCCCCTCTCCTCTTCTCTCTATCTATCAATTCTTAAACAAGTCATTTTTCCATACATTATAAGACATAGTACCTGCAAAATAATCTCACCTTCAATTTCCCAAAGTATATTTTCCTATAATTTTCCAATCACCCAAATTATAATCTTGTCAAAAAATAGAGCTTTTAAGCTTCCATTGATCACAAGACAAAGAAGTAAGACGTTCCATCAGAAAAAAAGACCCTGCCTCCAAATAATTGGTCTCCTCTTTACTCCTTGTTACCCTTGACCTCCTCTTTCATGTGAAAAGGTTCAGTATACAGAGAATTTGACACATCAAAGGCAATTATATATTCTTAATGTTTAAATGATACTATGATACTAGTTTTATATAGTTCACTTGTATAGTACCAAGTCTTTCAGTGCTTAGCTGCTCTTTGCTTACCACCCTTTAAAGTTAAGATTTGGTGTGCTGGGTATTTCCTTCACAGCAGCTTTATTTTAAATTCCCATCACTTAATTACCTTCATTCTAGAAATATCTCCAAAATACTCATCTTTACACACATCTCCCTGAAATAAATTATTCAACACCCTTACTCTTTTTTTTTTTTTTTTTTTTTTTGCATCTATGAGCAGAATACAGAAAAGCTGGTGATTATAATACAAGCATGGTGGAAACAACAGGAGGCATGTCAGTCTGTTAATCTGATTGCATTCAGCAAGAGTCCCTGTGGAGTAAGTAGCTAGGCTGATAGAATTCACTATGAAGAGTCCCTTAACTGAAAACACCCATGTGACATCACCAGTTGATCAGCTCACATAGGAACATCCAGGTCAGCTTTACATCTGAGCACACTAAATTTTTATCCCAATTGGTCTGCTGATGTCCTCAAGTCATTAATAACTTAAAAGTACTCAACCCTGAATGCAAATTGAGAATTTTAGGTGTGAAATATAAACACCTTGTAGTGTTGAAAAATAATCTCCCCAACATCCCACCATGAGGATACTGGAACAAAGCATTCTCAGTAATGTGAAACAACAGTGCACAGTTTGGGCAGCCTATGTTGTTCATTGTGGCACTGGGGACTTGGGTAATTTAGCGATAAATTACCAAATTATTTGCTCTGCAAGTCAAAACATACAACTGCTACTTGTGTGTTCTCTACAATGTATCATGTTGTGATGGCTACAATATATCATTTTGTGATGACTTCAATGTATCATGTTATGATGGCTACAATGTATCATGTTATGATGGCTACAATGTATCATGTTGTGATGGCTACAATGTTTCGAGCTGTGATGGGTACAATGTATCATATTGAAGGAATTGCAATGTATCAAAATAAAGGGTGTTTTGTGACTGAAAAAAATCAAATGACCTAATATGCCACATTTAAATAATTCAAATAAACGTTTATTCCTATTTTCCATCTTTCTCTCCATCTTTCTTCTTCATATGACTTTTGTGTTGCTTTGGTACTGTAACTTCCCAACTGGCAACTGAAGAACTCCTGACAGCATGAAAATCTATTTAACATTCAATTTAACTCAAATTTCAAAATATAATTTCCATAACCTCTGTTTGCCTGGGGGTAGGTTTACTTGACATGATGTTTGACATATTTCTTTGTCTTCACTGGCATATAAAGAAAAGTAATGGCATGAGATCAATTGACTATCTAAAGGTTAATATTAATGACATAATATACTGTGCTGCTTTCAAAATAAGTTGACAAGTGTAATGTACAAGTTAATAAAACAGGTCAGGAAGTGCAATACATGTACCATATGGCAATTTTTCAGAACTCAATTTTATAAATGGTGTCATCAATTTCCAGCTCGGCAGGAAAATGGAAGATTTTGAATTTGTAAAAAAAAAAAAAAAAAAAAAGGCTTATCGCTACAATGTGTTCAAAAATCTTGAAAATTTTGATAATAGAAATGGAAATATGAGCAAACTATATCAAACAGTGATACATTAGAGAAGGTTGAAAGTAAAAATCAAAAAGCCAAGAAATAAAACAAAATAAGAACAAATAATAAGACTCCCCACCACGTGTCTAAATTAGCCAAAGCAGCAAAGAAACCCAACTCTTCATCCTTCTGTGGGGTCAGCAATCCCTCGTTAACACCCCGCCATCTAACTACACATAACAACCTGTAACAGAAGACCACTCCACCTCAGTTCACCTGACTTTAAATCAGTTTCTGGAAAGTGATACGCACAGTAGAAACGATGGGCTAAAACCAAAGTTACTTTAGATGTCTGTGCAATCCTCCGTGCGGTCAGTTTCTAAGGTATAAGTGTGATTGTGTGGTTATTTTTGTTTCCAACGAGCTGATCTAAAATGCTGATCAGATTTTAACCTTATCTTTGTGGTATTTATTTGTTTTGTGCAAAAAGGACTTTTATTTCACACATTGGGTGGAACAAAATAGCAAAGTATACTCTTCGGGGCAATGATTGTTGACCTTCCAGTGGGTAGGTAACAGGTGAAGAGTAATTAAATGTTAAAAGACTGGATGGGGATATGTTCATTTACTTCTTATTTGTCCTATGAGAGATAAAGAGAGATTTTATTAAAGGACAATAAGTTCATAAGGGGAGAAAAAAAGAGTAAAAGTGGGAATTGAAAACAATTTTAGTTCTGAAGACAGTACTAGTTGACTTACAACATCTTCTCCTGACCTCTGAATGCACTAGAAGTTTGAAGTTATGATTAAAGGCCATGTTTTACACCAAAATTTGGATAACTCCCCATGTTTTCCTTTTTAACATCAAGTTTGATCATGTTCACAGTCAATCATGTCTGCAACTGATACAAGGGACTTCCTTCACATTTCCCAGCTGATTATTATAACCAGTTCAAAGACACAAATGATCCAACACTGTGCCATGCAGTTTCTTATTTGTTTACATCATTTTTTTATAATTTCATTCTTCCCTTTAAACAGTATCAAAATAATAAGAAAACTTTCTTCAAGATAAAAGAAATTGCTACTTGCAGACTACCATATAGGGCAGAATGATAGTACACACCTTACTGCAAAGCATTGCACCCTTTTCTTAAATGCTTTAAATAGTTCATAAATATCATTTAATAATATTCTTATACTGCCCTCCAATGGTTGTCAGTAGTCCATGTGTTTTAATTTACTTTAATCAGTTTTATTTCTGTTGATGAAAATGTTTGACCACTTAACCTGCTTGACCGTTGTGTTGATGTATAACTTCCATGAACTGACCAGCTTCTTTTTATCTGTTTTTTTTTTCTTCTACATCTGGTGCATTCCCATAGTACTACTTCGTTTAAATATAAATGTACAATATGTAATAAAAGATATACATACATATATACATACAGATTCTAAATCA